CTGGAATGATAATATGCCTTCTAAGTATGATTAGATAATCCCATAGATAGCCCTAGTATCATACTTATTTACCCCACATACTGACTTTATGTAAACATATTTCATTATTTTTACTTACCTCTAAATTTCCTGATAGTTTGTTACCAGACTTCTTTAATAAAAGCATTAGAATTGGGCTGCTGCTATGTTTTTAACTTGAAGGAAATCATTCACTAAAAATTATACAGTATAAAAATTATGAGAATACTCTGTGCTATATTTAGCTCTTATATAATATAAACTTAGTTTAACAGAATTTTGAATTTTAAATTAGAGTAAAAAAGCCTAAGTCATCCTTGAACTGGAGGTATTTATTTTCACTTCAACTCCAAAAAAAGGTTCATAAGTGTCATAATAAATGTATATTATTATACCTAAGTAAAGATTTAGCATAATTACAAGTTAAAGTATAATGCAAAATTTAAAATGTAAATTATCCATTATATAGGGACAGAGATTTTGAACCTATGCTTTGGACATCTTTTCACAAATAATTTACTTGAAAAACAAACCTGCATTGCTTCATTGCTTTCACGCTCATTTTCTCAAAATTATTTATTAATCCCAAATATAAGGAGATTAGGAGGGCATTTGATAAAGTGGGTAGGACATTAGGTTTCACTTCCTCATTTTAAAATTTTACAATCTTATTGACATGTCTTAATTTTGCCTGGAATTATTTCCTATACAAATGAGTTAGCTCATATTTAATGACTGACATCTAGTATGAGTCTGTTAAATTACATTTGAAACAAAACTGTGTATTCCATTGCTTATAAACTGTGACTGCCTGAAATTAAACTTTGATATTCTCTCTCTCTCTCTCTCTCTCTCTCTCTCTCTCTCTCTTCCTCTCCCCCTCCCTCCCTTTGTCCCTCCCTCCCTCTCTTCCTCCCTCTTTCTCAGGTCGAGTTTTAGCTCAGGCGAGTGGCAGTGGGGTTATCCATTTGCTAGATCTGAAATCAGGGCAAATCCACAAATTGATGGGCCATGATAGTGAGGCTCACACAGTCGTGTTTTCTCATGATGGAGAGTATTTGTTTTCCGGAGGCTCTGACGGCACTGTTCGAACGTGGTCTTGATGGTCAGCATATCCCACTGCGGACGGCATTCCCTTTAAGGCTTGAAAATACCTTGCATAGTCAGTCCCAAACCAGGAAGTATCTGGTTATATATGCCAGCAGGTAACATTTACAATTTGCTTTAAAACATGCTTTGGACATGTATTTTAGTGCTCATACTGACACCAATAAAAAAAAACACAACTTTTTGCTCATTTGTGTCTGGGTCTCTTTTTCTTCTTCATTTTGATAAGAATTTAGAGACAGAGCATCTTTGCTAGGGGTTTGAAAGAAACAGCTTTACAATGACGCCTAATGACAGACTAGATGAATTACAGGAGATTGATTTTGAATGTTAGAGAACAAACTGCAGGAGAACAGGGCTACTTTTTTTTTTTTTAAAAAATCAAATCCAAGCTGCAGGAAGACCTGAAGTTTAATCATATAGCATGGAGAAAGTCTTTCTGCAACCAAAGGGTCAAATAGAATCGAGGAGCATACATGTTCACAGATTCTTTGACAATGATCATGCTTTATCTATTAATAATCATCAAGACTGCAGATGGCTTAAATCTAAATGCAATGCTCTTCCAGAACTTTCATCTCTGCAGCCCATCTAAGAATGCATTAGGTATAATTACAATGTTTTGTATTTTTTGTTGTAATTTCAATGCCAATAAGTATCTCGTGTGTAAAATGTCTTTCCCGCTCCTAATGCATGCATCGGCTGTATAAAGTGCGACTGCTTTAGAGAACACTCTAGCCTGGTCTAAAGAAGCAGCTCCGGATTTCGGATTTCACCGAGCTGGGCTCCGAAGCCAGTTGTTGGCGCTGTCCGTGGTGCTGAGGAATTCCCGGCTGCCGGCGAATGAGCTCCAAATCAGCAGTCTGCAAACTGCTCTCAGTGATGCAGAAACCCAGCTAAAGTTGCTCCTTTCCTTCACGTCCACAGTTAGTATTTTCTGGTGTGTAAGAGGGGATTCAAGCAACATATTGTGGATGATGCTGATGGTACTGCCAGCGGAGTGGGCTTTAAGCTACAGCATGCTATTGCTGTTTGTGATCCTCAGAGCCTAGCCAAATCACCTCTACTGCCGTACCAAACACTGTGTAAGTGAACTCATGTGTGGAGGAGGCGTAATCAGCCGGTAAATTTCATAGAAGGATCTGAGAAAATGCTAAAAATAAGTTCAACATGATTCTGCTACTGGGGTCTGGATTTCTACAGGACCAGCATTGCTTCTTGCTTTGAATTCTGAAGACAGGTCCAAAGCATATTTCTTATGTGTGTCTGCTGTGTTTCTCTCTGGAAGGGCGGGAGACTGCTTCTTGACTGTGTTTTGAAATGGGAGGTAGAAAGAATGGATTACCTTTAATTCGTGCCTGAAAATGTATTCTTTGGATAATTAAAGAGGAACTGCTTTCCTAAAACATACCTGATGTTTTAGTTCGTATTGGTCTATGACTCCCACCACCACCATTAACCTCCAGAGTGATTAGGTAAGTGTATCTTATGACATGAGTTATGTTTGTTTTCTCAAAGAAATAGATGCAGTCATTTTAAATCATATGTGGCAATATAGGGAGGGGGGGAAAGTTTAGGTGGAAAGTGGTCCTCAGTTTAGCAGTGTTTGCTTACTTAATAAAAATCTTCAGATAAACATTTTATTTCATTTCTCTAATATTTCTTCTCTTAAATAGTGTTTTTAACTACACTAGAGCAGCTCTATTATGAAAAGGGATTTTTTTAATAGCCTAAGAACTTTGTTATATTAAAAAGAAAACCTTGTTTTCTCCATGCAGATTTAAAAATGTATTTCATATAATAAAAGCATGTTTAAGGTTTATATAAAGTAGACATTATACCTCTATTTTTATCTTTAAGTTTACATTTATCACAACTTGATATATTAATGCCTACCTGTAGCTTGCAAAGAGATCAATTTCTGTCTATGTCCTTTTGAAGCAGAATGATATGTGTCTTTTATATGGCTTATCTTGCATGTATTGGCAGACACTACTGGAATACTATAAGGAAGCACAATAGATTCCTTTCTTCCAAGATAAACTTTCTAAATATGTGAGAGATGTATAAATGCATGGTTTAATCAGTAAAATATATATTTATGCTTTTTTCAGAAGCTTCTGTTATGTTTGTGGCCTCTGTAGTAATTTAAGAGAAAAAAAATGCTTTGTCAAAGGGAGCTTCCAGCTTCTCAAGTAGAATTATAGGTTTGCATTTTTTTTGTTCTGTCATGACTCATTATTTTTGACATAATTTAAAATAAATCTATCTCTTTTATCATTACCTACCCAAAAGGAATTCTAATATGAGAGAGCAGTTTTCTCTTAAAGGAGGGCATAAATATACTACCTTCCATTTTACTATTACTTTGCATAAGATAATTTGCATATATTACTTAAAATGCAAATATAATAGTTGATGAAGTATCCTTATGCCATCTCTATCATGTTTTTAAATGATCACCTGTATATGCTATACTGAAAAGGGATGATTTATCATTACTCATTATATTCTGAAAATATACCAACAAATAACATTTATAAATTATCTGAAAATGTCCTATATACAGTCTTAGCAACATTGGCATAAAGCCAATAGCATTTAGATAGATAAATGAACTATCCGACAACACTTTTTCTTACCTATTAGTGTCTAAAGTCACAGTTTCCCCAAAGCCTTTGTATGAGTTAGTCACCCTAAACATTTAAATAAGAGCCCACTACTAACACTCCACACCAAGCACTAACACTAAGTGAAGCTTTTAAGAGTCAATGTCACCAAATTAATCAGACATATTTTCTGTGAATGGCAACACCTCATCATTACTTTAAGGAATTTCAATAAATAGTTTTGTATTGGCATTTTTGTGCAAATTGACCAAATGCAAATATGTTTGGGATGTCAAAAAGAAAGGTATATCCTCAAGACTATGTGAATGGTATATATTTTATATTGAAGTAATTAATTCAAATAGCATTCCATGAATACTAGATTCAAATTGCCATTAAAAAAAATCTCAGGTGCATCTTTCCTGCCCACTAGGAGCTTACTTCCTGAGTAAAATAAAGTTGTGAACAATGATACAAATAAATTTATTTTTAGTAAATCCTTTTCAATACATGGAGTTCTCTTGCACTATTATTTAAATTTTTCTCTTATTCACTGTGGAATGGTTGTACTAGTTTTCTTAATAGCTATGTTCCAAAATCCATATTTATGGTTTCTGAAACAAGAAATACATTTGAGACCACTGCTATTCTCCAGTTATGGGAATGAAGTAGGAAGACCTTTATACTAGCTCATCTCAATTATAATTTATATTAGACTATTGGTCTCTTCTCTTTCTTTTAGAAGTAGATGTTTTCTCACTAATCTCTTAGTTTTTATACAGATAGTTATATCATATACATTCTATCACTGACTAATCCAGCTTAAGGAATAATAGAGAATGTGGATTCCAACATTCTTGAGCCATCTGTAACTACTGTAATCACCTTTTGAGGCTCAGCAAAACCACTTCTACAATTTAAACAAAGCCAAACCTTGGAAATTCAGAAGGTAAATCTTAGCTTACCATTCCTAGGTGGAATAAAGGACAAATTTTAATGCATGTATTGCCAAGAATAAACTCCCCAAACTTCGTAAGAAGCATAGATAGTTGCATGAACTTGGTCTATTTGAGGTCTGAGTGTCTTCCAGACAGATCCCAAATAAACAGATTAAGAACAAGGGCTTACGTAAATCCATATTCTCTCTATATATGTCAAATTCTTCTTTTTAAATATTTATTTTCAGCCTACCCCTCTTGTATTCCCATGGAAGGAGCTGAGTATATTTAATATTAGGAGCACATCCAGAAGCCTTTGAGGAGGGGGATGGCTCTTCATATTCATGAAGCTTGCATACTTCTGTTGGTCATCCTTGGATCAGTCACCTCTGCTGCCATCAGTCATGAAGACTACCCTGCTGATGAAGGTGACCAGACCTCCAGTAATGACAATCTGATCTTTGATGACTATCGAGGGAAAGGGTGTGTGGATGACAGCGGCTTTGTATACAAGTTGGGAGAACGCTTTTTCCCAGGGCATTCCAACTGTCCATGTGTCTGTGCTCTGGATGGACCTGTTTGTGACCAGCCAGAATGCCCTAAAATTCACCCAAAGTGTACTAAAGTGGAACACAATGGATGCTGCCCAGAGTGCAAAGAAGTGAAAAACTTTTGTGAATATCATGGGAAAAATTACAAAATCTTGGAGGAATTTAAGGTATGAGTTACCCTCCATATTTCTTCAATACTAATCTTTCACACCATGTATTTCATAGATTACTACATTAAAATTAGAATTGGAAAAACTTACTTTTAAATTCCCCCTTAACTTACGGTATTGTGATTTCAGTTAGCCTGCGTACCGCTGTGGTCAACAAAGAACCAACTGGCTTGTTGATAGGTGTCTTGAAGGTTTCACGATAACCTCCTCCTTCAGAAGTATTCTGGGCATGCTTAACATCTTTTATTGCCCTCAATCATTTCCTTTGTGTTATTACAAAATATGTTTTCTGAGGGAAATAATTATGTTTATAGATCATGTGTTTATTTAAAACTAATGTTTAAATATTGTAAGATCTTTTTACGTGTGTGTGGCTTATAAGCCTGTATTGGGAGTCATTTAACTATGGTCTAGAATTCTATTTAGCGTGTGGAAATGCAAGTGCTAAGGAGACACACTTCTGAGCTGTGGTCTATATATTTAAAATATGCATTGGGCCTACTTGTTATAGAGCACCATCCCCATTCTGTTCTCTGCTCATTACATTTTTTTACTTGCAGGCCCCAAAGAGAACTGAACTTTTGTCCTAGTTTGTTGTCAAAGGTACTAAAAAGGGGGAGGGGGACTATTATTCCAGCTTCCATAGTATTTCATAATCTTTCCTTTTTGCTTACGTCATATTTTCAAGTAATTTGGAGTTCATTTTTATCTCTGAGTCTCTTTTCTCAAACAGCTAGTTTTAATTAGGATGTCCTACAAACCAGATCTGAACCCTGAGGGTATAAATTATTGTATCAGAATGTTCCCCTTAAATGTAATGGCAGTTTGTGCCTTGGAGTGGCTGTCATACTGATGGCTTGATACGAAAAATTTTCATTTCATCTAACCAAGTTCTGTGAAAGGTGTTCAGAATCTTATAAGCAAAAGAAGATATAGCTAGTTTTCAGTGTCATTGTTCAGAAGAATGTTCAGTTGTTAGCACTAACCCAACTCCCTTCTTTACAAGAGTCAAATGCTGGAAGAAATCAATATGTGGGGGAAAAAAAGGTTTAAACTGATCATGATCAGAGTATTCTATGTATTGATATTTCATTGCATTCAGTCCATTCCAAGTTATGGGTTCAAACCAGTTGTAATTTACCCAAGAAAACCCAATCACTTTAACTAGATAATCTTAGGACATGAAGGGAATTTTAACAGTTATCACATTCAACTTTCTTATATATAAACATTATTCTAGGCTCTTCTCTTTCATCTGCTTACCATATTTTGTTGTACAATACTGAGAAGTAAAAAGCTTGAAAGTCTAGCAAAATTACCATTATTTACAACAAGTAATAGTTTAACAGTATAGTACATTTATTAACAGCTTTATGATCTATAAAATATTGGATACATCTTGACATAGCTATTTTTACTTTTAGAGTAATGAAAGTAAATGCAGGTACTCAATACAATTTGATTCTAGACATGACTCTAGAACCATGTCACTCTTCTCTAACATGCATACTTGCTGAGATTAGAGTGCAAAGAGACATTATAGAATAGCCTAACCCAAGCAAAAGAGTACATTGAGTAAAATTTCTGAGATTTATGTAATTTGGTCATCAATATTTAAAAAATAAGAAACTATCTGAATTTAGTCAACTCACTACTAAAAATGCTACAGTTTTTCCTCTATTTATTACATTCTATTTTATTACAAAGGTAATACCTATCTTACCATCTCAAACAATAAGATATAAAGAAAAAGTTAATAAATACTTCACTCTAATTATATGTCCCTGCTATAGTCAATCTATCACCAAATGATGTGTACAACTTTTCCACCTGACTCTCTATGCCATGAGATTGTGAAATGTGATTTTCAATAAAAAAGAAAAGAAAGAAAAGAAAAAATGAATGAAAGAAAACAGCTGCCACTCTTTTGCAAGGATTTAAAATTATAAGAGCTATAGTGATTAATCTAGGGTTAGCTCATAAGAATGACGAACCAAGTCCAAGAAAGTTTGTTACTTGTCCAAAATCATCTTGTTATTTAACCCACTTTTAAATACTGCTGTTCTAACAACCTCTCAGAGAACTTGGACTCAGCAGTCAGATAGATCTGGATTCAAATCCCAAATTTATCATATAGATGTAAAACTTTGAAGACTCCTTAAGTTTATGAGTCACAGTGGCATTAGCTGTAAAATGACCATAATTATAGTTACTTTTCTTGGGAGGAGATATTAGAGTTAATGAGATAATTCATGAAAAAATAGCAACCTTGTGATGACTGGTACACAACAGATTTTGACTAAATGCTTGTTCCCTTTCTCCTTAACTCTAATGTCCATGGACTTCCTCTAAGTTTACAGTTCCTCTATGTCTTTGCCTACATTTTATTATGGAAGCTCATCTTTAAAAGTCACTCAGTCGAAAGGATTCCAATACTTTTTTAAAGGCTCTATTTATCTATGTGAACTATATATACCTAAGTAAATATCAGCCATAATATTATTTGATTCTCTTCCAATTTAGCTTATAAGAGACAACTAATTTCAAAAGATAAATGGAACTTTCACATAATTATCTTGGCATGTTATTAAGAAGGTTTTATATATTTTTACATATGTTGGTCCAACAAACATTTTGGGGCTATTTGGTGTACAAGACACTGTAGATGCATGTACCCTGGAAAGTAAGATACCTGGAAGGCAAAATCTCCACTCACAAGAAAGGCATGAAGAATATGGAAAGGGAATGGAGAGAAAAAACAATTTCAAGTATGTGATTGTGAAGCTCAACACAAAGGAACTGTCGTGTCAGAAGCCCATCAACATGGTGTGAGGCTTGGTTGGACAAACTTTCTTGTTCTTCAGCATGGTCAAAGTTGAGCCTATTCTTAAGGAAGTAATTCAAATTGATCTGGATAGATTAAAATTCCAAAGAGGAAACTTCTCGAGCAGGATCAGAGATTACTATGAAATCTGTAGAGAGGAGGGAGATGGAAATACCAGAAAGCTGGGTGTTACTATTACGCTATTATAATAAGAGAGGTAAATTTGTACATATGTTTTGGACAGTAGAGAGGAGAACTTGAATATCAGGCCAAAATATTTAAATTCAGTCTAAAGAATAACAAGGGATAAAATGCAGCCTGTACACAGAGATGACCTACTTAAATGTGTCTTTAGAACAAGATTACCTTTTAGCCAAGTATAGAACTGAATAGAGGTAAAGAGAAATTAATGGCTAGGGAAGTAGGGCTGTTGCAGAAAACAGAGAATGAGATGACCAGCATGCATGAGGATAAAACAGGAGTGTCTTCAAGATAAAAACCTAAATTCCCTACTAGAGACTCAATTCTACTCATCAGTTTCTCCAAGTATCCCAAACTCTCAGTGATTTCTCTTCCCTGCCTCTTTTTTCACCACTGTGCACCTGTGTTAATCCTACTAGACTATTTCAAAACTCCATTTAAATCTTATCTCACCTGGAAAGCCCTGTACTATGCAGCATCCTGGGCTGGGTCTCACAACCTTCCTCTATGTTTCCACAGCATGCTACTCACACCGTTATAAACAGGAACAGAAATCATATCCAGATACTATCACGACCTGTGTATCACAACTTATTTCATTTCATAACAACACTATGATGATGATACCTTAATTAGCACTTTTTTTTACAGATAGGAAAATTGAAACACCAAAGTATAAGGTAGTTTGTCCAACATCACACAGCTCTAAACTAGAACTAGGATTCACACCTAGGTAGCTTGCCTGCAGAATCTAAGCTCTCTATCACCTCTACTGCCTTGACCACACTGCAATAACAGAATGTTAAACCACCTGTCTCTCCCTCTAGAAGTGAACTCTTTGAGGCTAGGGACAATGTTTTCTCCTGCTCCCAGCCCCAGCACCATGTGAATCACATAATAGGCATTCAATACACTGTTGATGAATGATGTAATAGGTCAGATCTTAATTAAATCCACAGAATTAAAAAAAATTATGAGTTCCTTTAAAATGCCTTAGTTTCTTTTTGCTTATGTGTTGATCTCTTCCTTTTAATTAAAGAAGCACTCAAATTTCAGATAAAGAGTACTCTTTGGGTAACTAAAGGTGACGCACATTGCTCATTTCCATCTTGCTTTCTCCTTACTACTCCTTCCTAACCGGTCTCATCTTGGATTCCATCTCTATGCCTGTTACAGTGACCACCTAGTGGGTGTTTTAGTAGCTCTGTCTCACTCTATACAGTTGCAAAACATACGTCCCTACTTAATCTTTTCAGATCACGATATTCAAATGTAAATTGATCCACATGTGTTATCTGATGAGAAAGTGATGTTATTTTGTAAAGATCTTTTTCGTCATTTACTGATTCAAGCTTTGAAAATGTGTTTCTCTGTACTCTTTTTGAAAACTCTAAATTTTTCAGTATTCTGGTAATATTGTATTAAGATAAAGGTCACTGTATAGTAGTAGGTTCTCATCTTTCTTTTATGTATACCCAGGCATGACACTGGAACCTACTTTTTAAGACATAAGAAGCATAAGTAATAAATTACAATAGCATTTCCTACAAAAAAAAGTTGATTGGAAACATAGACTCTATCAGCTTTGGTTTGGTATTTAACTATCTATCTCATGCTGAGTTTCCCAAAGGGAGAAATAATTTCTTTTGCTCAGTATCTTTATAACTCTCACTCAGAAAGAATTAGCCTTTTTGGATTTCTTTAATATCTTGAAACTTACACTGATGTAGTTTAGGTCAGACACTGAAGGTTATACTATATGCAGCTGAAAGAGCCTTTGCATAGCCTGTCTCATTTTAAAGGGATTTTATATAGGCAACACCAAGTGTCCCTAATTCAGGATTTGGATTTGCCCACGACCTGCCTTTTTCTGTAGGCACTGACCTTTGTGGCTTTTCTCACTATAAACCAAAGACAGTTGATCAGGTGGCTGATTTTTATTTTTAAAAGATTCAGTTTTCTGAATCATGTT